TTTAATCCATGATAGAATTTTTTGAAAATTTGTGATTTTTTTTTTAATCCATGATCGAATTTTTTTTTGTAATCCATGATAGAATTTTTTGAAAATTTGTGATTTTTTTTTTTTAATCCATGATCGATTTTTTTGACAATTAGTTTTTTTTTTTTTTTTAATTCCATATTATTCAAAGAGAAAATGAGAGAGATGATGATTCTGAGGCCAGCCTTTCCCAGCCATATTATTCACATATCGAGTCCCAACAACAACAGTGTAGGGATGAGCACGACAGTGCAGGTGAGTATGAAGGATGGACAATTTTCGGGGAGTTTAGATTGGGAACACAACAAACCACTAACACTCAGGGATTTGGGAATAGTTAAACGCCTGCTAATATCGATGATTCGTTTTTAGATCGAATCAATGAATTGTTAAACGAATTCAATCAATGACACCAGCGTGACCAAAAAGAACAACAACGTCGTCTATCATTTTATTTTTAGATCATATGTTACTAATTTTATGCTTTATTGTAGTCCATGTATGTTGATATACTTATTCCATGATAATTCTATGTTTATCCTTTTGTGTGATGTAAATTAAATGCTGAATGGCGGTTCATGCAAGGAAAGAACATATCAATATTCACATATTCATTCAAAAACATGAAAATTCTTAATAGAGTACCCTCATTTCTTATTGAATTCCTAAAAAACAATATTTATAATGAATTTTAATAATTTTTTCGGATTTTTTTTAAGCTTTATTATGATCGATTCACCCGATTCCTGATCCGGATCGTCGATTCGCCGATCTGGATCAGTTTTTTGGAAGCCCGATCGGGATCACCGATCCGTTTTTTAAACCATTGGTTGAAACTTTTATCATAACCTAAAAGTCTATTTTTCACCTCTATAATGAAATTGAAACCTAAAAAAATAGTGAAAATCTATGAGCACTAAAAAATCCTCAAAATAGACGGCCTAGATAATGTGTTACAAGATACTCTATTTTTAAGACTTGAAATTCATTTTTTCTTTCAAATCTATATATATCAAGGTCAAGAGATCAGTTGGAGAATTTTCGAGTGACGAAATAACCTTTTTCAATGGGTTTTTTAAGTGCACCTTACTTCTAAGGTTTACATCTTATAAGTGCACCTTAGAAGGTTTACACCTTCTAAGGTTTAAGTGCGTTTTACTTAGAAGATGTTTTTTTCTCACGTTTTTTTAAGTGTACCTTTCTATAAGGTTTCCTCCTTATACCATGGAGGTAAGACATAGAAGATGTTTTTTTCTAACGTTTTTATAAGTGCACCTTTCCATAAGGTTTCCTCCTTATACCATAGAAGTAAGACGCATCTGTAAAATTTATTTAGAGATATCATTTTAGTGTCGAAAATCTTATGATGGCTTCAAAATATCTTTTTATACTTCAAAATTTTAAAAATGATATAGATCGAGCGGATAAAAAGTTCTTAAAAATAATAAAAATAAATGGTCTAGATAAGTTGAGGGTTATCGGAACACTGTCCACAAAAGGATGTTTACTGTCCACAATAGGATGTTTGAGGTGCACCTTATTTGAACGGTCTAAGGTTCCAAGCTTATATAGACCTTTTTCCCCAACAATGGCTAACATATAAACGAGAAAGTTTGAAAGGGGAAATTTCATTGATACCCAAAAACCCTAATCGATACTTCTAGACTATTCCCCCATCCAACTCCCAGGGTTTTAGAATCCTCTCCCCGACTCTTTAAATTGTACACGTCCTTTCCCAACGCCGTCTTCTCTTCCGTGTCTTAAACCTCCAAAACCCTAACCCAGTTCCCTCTCTCTATCACAGTTGTTCTACCTCTCTCACTGTGGCTCTACCTCTCTCTCTCTCTCTCTCAATGTATCGTGCAGCTGCGAGACTTGCCTCCAAGGCACGGTAAGTGTTTCTCTTTACCTTGTAATCGTTCTTACTTTTGTTACTCATATGTTTTGTTTTTTATTTCCTTTGAACTGTGATTTTTTTCTTTGTAGGTTCTCAAATGCCAGCCAACAGGTATGACATTCTTCTTTCTGTGATCTAGAGTAACCTGGTTTTTATTGATTTATTCTATTTGGGTTTTCATAAATGCTAGTTTTGGGGGTTTTTTATACTGAGCGCATGAATAGAAGAAACTTGGGTGTCCATTTTTTTTCGAGAATTAAGATTGTTTGCTTACTTTTTTGTCTCTACATAATTTGGATTTTAGATTGGTAGCAGAGTGAGTTGGAATAGAAACTATGCAGCAAAGGATATTAAGTTTGGGGTTGAGGCTCGTGCTTTGATGCTTAAGGGTGTCGAGGAGCTTGCTGATGCTGTTCAAGTAACCATGGGACCGAAGGTATGAATTGTTTTTTAAAGTGGATGGATCTTATGTTTAGTTAAGATAATCTCTCTCTCTTTCTTGTTTTGGATCAGCTGAATGCTGATGGCATTTTTTATTTGGGATATTTGTTTTGTTTTTTTATGTTGAAGGGCCGTAATGTTGTTATTGAACAAAGCTTTGGGGCTCCTAAAGTCACAAAAGATGGTGTGACTGTTGCAAAGAGCATTGAGTTTAAGGATAGAATTAAGAACGTGGGCGCAAGCCTTGTCAAACAAGTTGCAAATGCCACAAATGATGTTGCAGGAGATGGTTAGTGTTTTGATACTCTTCAGTGTTTTTTGTTGAGGGTTTGTAATATCATGCTTTTTTTTGTTACAATTGATGTGTCTAAGCTAATGTTTTAATATGTAGTTTTATTCAATTGGGTGAATTAGAAAGCTTATTCACCGGTAGCTGATAAGCTGGTCTTGTTATCTATGATTCTAATTAGCAATTGTTCACTCTGTGTGCGTAGGTGTGTGTGACTGCATTACTGCATTATGTTTAAGGAGTGCTTTGACAGTAGTAACTCACATCTTTGATTTTTTTATTTTTTATTTTGATGCAGGTACCACTTGCGCTACTCTCCTAACACGTGCAATATATGCTGAGGGTTGCAAGTCGGTGGCAGCTGGGATGAATGCAATGGACTTGAGGCGTGGTATCACCATGGCTGTTGATACTGTTGTCACCAGCTTAAAGAGCAGGGCACGAATGATCAGCACATCAGAAGAAATTGCACAGGTTTGTCTTTCACCTCCTCTATGCATTAACTATTTTTTTGTAAGATTGCAAAATGATTTCTTCTTGTCGATTATTTGTACCTTCATATTTCTCCTGCTATTTAAGGGGTTTGAATTGTATTATAATTTATTTCTGTCATAATTTCTGCTGGAGTTTGCTATTTACATCAGTGAATCTTGGTGAAATTGTATTGGGCCCCTTGGAAGAAGGATGTGGATTAGTTATATTTGTCTTTCTCAATTCGATTAGGTTGGCACCATATCAGCAAATGGAGAAAGAGAGATTGGAGAGTTGATAGCAAAGGCTATGGAGAAGGTTGGCAAAGAGGGAGTCATCACCATTGCTGTATGTCATTGTCATCTTAAATCTAACCATCTCTTGTCATTTTCCAAACATTTAGTGATTGGGCATTGTTTTTTTTATATTCTTACTTTGAATTGTGTATGGAACTTTTTGCTGGTTGTGTTGGAAGGCTTTGTATTTTTTTTTTTCAATTTTTGTTAAATCATGGTTTCTAATATGTTGTTCTGGCAAATTTGTAATTTGTATTTCGCTACAGAAATGTCAATGTATATAGTAAATTTGACACTCCCATGTTCTTTACAGGATGGAAAGACTTTATACAATGAATTAGAGGTTGTTGAAGGAATGAAACTCGATAGGGGCTATATATCCCCATATTTCATCACCAACCAAAAAACCCAGAAATGTGTAAGCCCGACTGTTTTCTTTACAACGGTTTATTTTAACTTCTTTCTATAACCAAATTTGCTAGTGCGCATAGCAAGTGTTGTGAATCTGCTATTTTTCTGTTTGTTTTTGTTGAATGTAGAGCCATTATCCATAGATAGTATATCCTATACACTTTTTTTTGGTGGCCAGGAACTTGATAATCCCCTAATTCTTATACATGAAAAGAAAATTTCGAGTTTAAATGCAATTGTCAAAGTATTGGAGCTTGCCTTGAAGGTAATCACTTTGTTCTTTGATTTTCTTGAAGGGTCAAAAGGGCTGTTTCCAGCGAATAGTTCATGTAACTGGTTTCTGATTTTTCTTCCCCCTTCCAGTTGCAACGCCCTTTGTTGATAGTTGCAGAAGATATCGAAAGTGATGCGCTCGCGACACTCATTTTGAACAAGCTCCGTGCTGGGATTAAAGTAAGTGTGCCATCCTATTAGTTTGTCATGTATTGTAGAATTTTTTATGGGTTATTTGGTGAAATTTTCTCCAAATCAATAAAGTTAATCAGAACATGAATCTATAGTAGATAATTGACCAGCATAAATGTTTCCATATTCCAAGGTTTGTGCCATTAAAGCTCCTGGCTTTGGAGAAAACAGGAAGGCTAGCATGCAGGATCTTGCCACACTCACTGGTGGAGAGGTGAGATATCTGCTATTGTTCTTTACTTTGTAGTTTGAATCTGTTCCCTTGAGCTCCTCATCAATTGATAAACTTTTTTTTGGTAGCTTATTACTGAGGAGCTTGGTTTGAACCTCGAAAAAGTGGAACCGGATATGCTGGGTACTGCCAAAAAGGTGAGGTGTCTTCCAATATCTAAGATATTGGATGGTATGCAATATTACATGACTGTTTTTTAGGTTCACTGAGGTTGGTGGCTCACAATGGTAAATTTTGTTTCTGACAGGTCACTGTATCTAAAGATGATACAGTGGTTCTAGATGGGGCAGGTGAAAAAAAGGCCATTGAGGAAAGGTGTGATCAGGTTGGCACATCTCTCTCTCTCTCCTCCCCCCACCCCCACCCCACGTGTGCTTGCTAGTTAGCTATTTGTAGTTTATTGGAAGCTATTCACCCAAGAGAAGGTTATTGGAAGCAGAATTATGTGTGAAGTAGTGATGGATGTCATGATCAGTGCTCATGTTGTCTCTTGATCTAACCTCATGTCTGCTGTCATAACAGTTGCGATCTGCCATAGAAGCCAGCACTTCGGATTATGACAAGGAAAAGTTGCAAGAGAGACTAGCAAAACTTTCTGGAGGTGTGGCTGTTCTCAAGGTAGGTCTTTGTTTTCTTCATATGCATTTTGAGTTGAAAAACTTGATTTAAATGATTTCATCTTTTTGCAATTTGAAAAATGTCTGAAATCAAATGTTATCTAAATATGAACTTCATCTTTGTGGGGCAAAAACATTAGATTTAATTTGACTAGATGAGGTCTTATATGGTGGTTTTCGCAGATTGGAGGAGCCAGTGAAGTTGAAGTTAGTGAGAAAAAGGACAGAGTTACAGATGCTCTAAATGCCACCAAGGCAGCTGTTGAAGAAGGCATCGTACCAGGTTTGTTGAGCTTCCTTTCAACTTTGTGGATTTCGTTTGACATCTTTCCCGGGTTCCCTGTTTTGTAGTTTGATAACTTTCCAATTGTTTTTAGAGAATTCAAAGTTCCAATATCTGTTGCAGGGGGTGGTGTTGCACTTCTTTATGCATCAAGGGAGCTAGAAAAGCTGCATACTGCCAACTTTGATCAGAAGATTGGTGTTCAAATTATTCAGAATGCACTTAAGGTACTTTATTGACATGCTTAAATTTTCTCTGGTCTTTACCATATTCTATATAACGCCCTGCTCTTTTGGGTGAAAAACTCTTCTTAAATTTGGCTATAAATCTTGGTAGATGCCTGTGCACACTATTGCATCCAATGCTGGAGTAGAAGGTGCTGTGGTTGTTGGGAAGTTACTTGAACAAGATAACCCTGATCTTGGATATGACGCAGCTAAAGGTGCATCTCATTCTTTGTTCCTTTTTCCTGGTCTTTTACTGGACAATGAAACAGCTTTCTATTATTTCTTTCTATCCTCGTGTATTTTCTTGTTTTGATACCTGATGGATAAGTATTGGTGATAAGAGTAGTTCCTAACCTGCCTTCTCTGCAAATCAGGTGAATATGTTGACATGGTTAAGGCAGGAATAATTGATCCCTTGAAGGTTATCAGAACTGCATTGGTGGATGCTGCTAGGTATAAATCTTCCTGTTTATTCCTTTTATTTCATTGCATGTTATTGGAAGCTGCCTTTTAATTATTTAGTAATGAACTCGAGTGGTATTGATTTGCATCTTTCAATTAAATAGAAATGATTGTGATATGGGAATACAAGTTCAATATGAATATTAGAGCAATTCTTGCTCGTGGGGAGTTGAATTTCCAAGATGCAACTGTTTGTAGGATCGCCCACCTGACTTCTTGAAATGTCAGATCATCTCTCTCTCTCAATCTGTGCATGCGAAACTTGATCCTATACCTTCCTCAATAGTAAAGCATGCTATTTGAACCACAATGTGCATCTGATTGAGACTTGAGCTCCAAACTACTAGTGTGGGCTATTGTTAGTTTCGCCCAATGTTCTTTGACATTTAGTGTTCAAAGTCTGAGTCTAACCTTACTGCCTGTCATTTGGATGCATTTCAGTGTATCTTCTTTGATGACGACAACTGAGGCTACTGTTGTTGAGCTTCCTAAAGACGAGAAAGAGATGACTCCGCCCATGGGTGGTGGGATGGGTGGAATGGATTACTAGAGGCAGTGGAAGAGCATAGTGTGCGTGTGTGGAAATCTGTCATAAGGCATTTAAAATCCCTTGAGTGAATCCTTCTCCAGGCTTTGGTGTGTTCTCCAATTCTCGGATTACAGGAACATTTGGAGCTAACTTGTAATCAAAGAGGTGACTAGGAAGTTTTGGTTTATTTTATCTTTGTTCACCAGTTTATTCTTGTGGGCGTATGCAGCAGTGATCATTATTGGTCTCATTTCCAATGTCTTTTCTAAGGTCTGTTTCAATGGCGACTCTAATATTGATAAACTTGGTTACGAGTTGTAGCATTTTTCCGAACATTTAGCATATGCATTTTTCCGAACATTTAGCATGTAGCACTTTTCCGAACATTTAGCATGTTAGTTGATTATAAATTTATAAGGGATACCTATACTATAGGAGTCTTTACCATTATTAGGTTACGAGCACGGCGAACTATTAGATGTGGTTTAGAGTGTGTTATGAAGTTGGAGATTTTTTTTTGAAAAATTATATACACATCTGTTATAGTTTCTGTAGGTACGGTTTTATCGAATAGTTTTCGTTATTATCACTGTATTTGTTTTTCATCTCCAAACAAAAATTTTTAAAAAGTATTTTTTTTTTTGAATAATTGAATTGAAAGTATTCAGGTCAATTTCGGTTTTTGAATAACTTAATTTTCGGTTTTTTTTCGAATTAACTTAATTTTTGGTTTTTCAAGAACTAAAAGTTTCTCTCTTGTGGGTGTGTATCTTCTCTCTATCTCTCTCCATTACTTGGGTAGAAGTAGTGTTTTTTTTTTTTTTGAACTGTCCCTTTCCCCCATTTTTTTTATTTTTTGGAAGCTCATAATCTTTGAGATTTTTCTTAAATTTAAGGGTTCAAACTAGTTGTTATTTTTTTATTTTATCAGATAACCATGACTTCAAAGGGATAGAGAGAGAATACGTCACAGGATTTTTTTTTAATCTTTTAATCTCATAATCTCTAAGATTTCTTCTAAATTTAGGGATTCAAATTAGTTTTTTTATTTTTATTTTATCGGATGACTACGACTTCAGAGAGGTAGAAAAAATGTCACAAGAGAACTTTTTTCGGTTTTTCAAGAGTTGAAATTGCCATATTTTTTGTTGTTGAACAATCAAAAATACTTTGAATATGGTTGTTAAAAAGGTAAAGTCATTGTTTTTTTAAATGTCCTTTTCAATATGAAAAAAACGAAGACGGTGGTAATAACGAAATCTATTCGAATAATCATGACTTCAAAGAGATGAAGCGAGAATATACTACAAGTTTTCTCTTAATCTTTTAATCTCATAATCTCTAAGATTTTTTCTAAATTTAGCGGTTCCAACTAGTTTTTTTTTTTTATCGAATAACTATGACTTCAAAGAGAGAGAAAGAATGCGCCTCACGAGAGAACTTTTTTCGGTTCTTTAATAATCAAAATTGGTGCATTTTTTGTTGTTGAACAACCAAAAATACTTTGAATACCTTTGTTAAAACGGTAAAGTTATTTTTTTAAAAAAAATTCGTTTTGGCATGAAAAAAACGGACATGGTGGTAATAACATAAACTATTCGGTAGAGTTATAATAATGAAATGGATATGTATATAATTTTCTCTTTTTCTTTTTTTGTGTTTTAATGTTTCAAGTTTAGCCAATGACAAATTTGTAATCACCCAATTTAAAATTGAGGGACTAGAATAATTGTGATCTAAAGCCTCTGTATAATTTTTCAATTTATAATGATTGACCGAAGTGGTTAATGGAGAAGTTTTAGAATTTTGGAGAAGTTAATATCAAATTAGACTGAGCACGCGGTTGATTGTATGACCCATTTGACACTCAACTGATCATTTTAAGAGCCTCCCAATACACGTTGAGGTTCACCTGATAGCTCTAGATGCAAGTATTTGAACTTCAAGAAAGTTAACATTAAGCAGGTCTAGAGGCCTTCAAACACTACTCCCTGGGCTGTCAAACACTACTCCCTGGGCTGGGGATGTGATAGTAGCACCTCCACACTCTAATCACCATATTATGACTTTCATTTCCACTGATGTCACTGGGTAGTGGCTTGTTTTCTCCATTGAATTATCAAAAAAAACCATTGCACTAAAAACCGATTTAATGATGTATACTCTTGAAATAAAAAACATATTTCTTTTTGTTTTGAAGAATAGGGACGGTATTAGACAACCCGAAATTAAATTGGAGATCTGAAACTCTTAAAAATCTGAGCACACTGACGTGCAAAGTAAAGCTTTACATTGGACATTTTCAGCTTCTTTTAGAGCTTATTGGCAGTCAAGTGCCATGTAGGAACAAGAAATTTTCATGAATTGGCCAAATAGTATCCCAATTGTTCGTTTTTTAGGCATCTCTCATGCATCAGTTGTGCGTAAGTGTACGTCTTATTGTGCAAAGCTTCAGGCATGTGATCCATTCCCACTCATAGTATGAATCTCCTCCCCCTAAATTTTAGAAGTACCGTTTTTATTTGGCAATCCATATTGGGTAGGTACATTGGAGATTGATCCTGTCTGTGGTGAATGAAAATCAATATGATCGGTGATAAATCATCATTGAGTTTTTCTCATCATTGAGTTTTCTCTTTTTCGTTTTTTGATATTTTATCGACGGTAATGAAGGGTGGCATGGTGTGTGGAGACATCCGCATCCCTAACCACGTTCTCATTGAGATTGTAATGTGGATTTCTTTGCTATTTATGTGCTAAATACAAACCATCATTTAGAACTTAATGTGGATTTCTTTGCTATATATTGTATGACATACAAACCATGCCTGCTATACTCCAAACAAATTTTGCATAATCTGGATGTTTAAAGTCCTTTCTATTAACATTATAAAACAGGCGACGAAGTCATAAACATCATTGCGGTGACTTTTAGTAGCAATGTGTGCAAGCACCATGCACCGTTAGGCTCCATTCTGCTGCATTGAAGGAAAACATGAACTATGGGAACATTTAGTAAATAAAGATTTCTGTTGCATTGGAGAGAAACATGAAACATGTGTGTCAAATTTTGGAACGTGCGGCATATAGAGTATATATGAATGGATTCACATTGGACGCATGATGATAAAGATGCTCATAAAAAATCAGCAAAACCAGTAAACCTGAGAAGAGCATGATGTCTTTTATATACACGAGCATATGATCCTCAACATTCACTGCACTCCTGGAGATCAAAAGGTGGCTACTGCGTAATAATATAGCATACCTTATTGGTGATGTGGATGATATAGGTTGCATGATGCGACCACTCAACTAGCTGAGGTGCCAATCACGATAGTTGCAATGAACTTTGGAAAGGGAAGCCATGTAATCATCTGACCTACAGAGAGAAGGAAATAGTATCATTATGACTATCAACGTGATCTTCATATGAGTTCATCCCAATCTGAACTGCTAAGACTATAACTTCTGCAACAGAATAACCAAAGTGACTTTATAAAAAAAAAGAAAAGGTGGTCTCCGAGGGCTATCCTCCTTATAGTCAACTACAGAATACTAAGAACTAATAGTGAAATCTGTCCTAGGACACAGCGTTTTGATCAGCAGGCAGTGCCATAAGGGTGGTTAAAAGCTATCTGAAGTTTCAGAAAAGGAATCTTCTAATATGTATGCAATCTGTTTAGTGCTCAATAATCAGGCTATGTTCTTTTTCTTTTCTTTTTTTGACAATTTCAAAGGATGTCAAATATGTCAGTTATTTCAAGTGCAAAAGTTCTCCTTTTGGTATTCTGTTTCTAAATTGTTTGATAAATTCTCTTTCCTACATTTCCCACTTATTTGAACCACTTAATGGGGACATTAAATTGACAGGAACAAGCCATTGAACCACACCTTTGCCGTCTTTGCATGGTATGTGATGGATGCAAGTCTGTACTTGCTAATATGTAAATTAAATCTTCGAAGAACACTGAATATATAACGTGTTTAATCAATTTGCAGGAATTCAACCAAACCATACCATATCTAAATTAGATCTCATTGAGATCTACTGTGGGTGATAGGTACAGGTCATGGTTAATTACAAAAGGACATTGGTTAATTACAAAGGACATGTGTACAAGGTTACTATGAAAAGTCTTGGATAAAAAACTTACCTATGCGACCGCAAACTTAAAGCAGATTGATAATTTGAAATCTAGCCATTGAAAGGTGGATTGCATAAGAAAATAAGGTCTTGCTTATACAGCAATGCGAAAAAGCTAATATTAAGACTTCAGCTTGCAATTATTGAAGCATGAATGCAAAGCCACCAATTAGATAAGCAAGACACATGAATACAACCATTATAACATGAGTTAAATCAATTAATCTCTATGAAAAGGAGGAATACTGATGGTTACAACAGTTGAAATGAAGATCCAATGAAGAACATAAAGAATTATTAGCTCTATTAGGTTGAATCATACCAAACCCAAGTGTACCATATAATCTTAGCCACACTCTTCTGTTTGGAATGAAGGAAACAAATCATATAGCCTTTTTGGAAATCTTCTCATACAGGAAACAAATCAGATTATCTGTAGTGCCCACCAAGCTCCAAGCATAGATTTTAATATTTGGGGAAAGAAGTTGAATAAAGAAAGTGTGGAGAACTCTTAGTAAATGTCTAACCTTAGTGCATAGGGAGATTGACTTGCGGCAAGTATAAGATTCTTTGCAGACTTTGAGTCATTCTGCGTAAGTGCAATTGACATGTTACTTCTTTATTAAACCAGAAAAGCATACATAAAACATAACATAATGATATACTTACCATGAAACTTTGTGCATAATATCTAATATTGGAATACAAGCAGCAGTGAAAGTAAGCAACTTCTGGATGACTTGGATGTTTCTCTTATTTTCCAATGCCTAAAAGTGTGGTCAAATAGTCACAAATTCAATGCCCTATAAGAGTTCTATATGCGTACCATTTTACTGCCATTTTCCACTCATAAGTTTTTAGCTAATAGTTTCCAGGATTTACCAACCTAGGTGTGGATCCTGGTCCGGGATCTCGCTCCAGCTCTCCCAGACAGGGATCTCCATGGGATCTTGATCCCCAGTTTTTAGGGAAGCACCTAACCACTAGAAGGAGCAACAGGAGTTCAAGAAAATGATTCATATGTATTGTTGCTAGTATCATACTCTCTTTCTAATGCTTTTGGATGTTGAAATGTTTCTCTACAGACAGTTGGGTTCTGCTGTAGTCCCAAAGGAATCACAATTACCTCAGCGCAAGTTGACAATGCCAACATACTTCGCATTCATAAAGATTGAGTCAATGTTGATTTCATAAAAATAAAAAATAAAAAAATAAAAAAAAACACTTTTGTGGTATTTCTATCATTTAATGGAATTTATACATCAAAAAATGCATCCTTCATACAACTGGAAAATCAAAACTCAGCAAACAGAAAAATGAAAAGATTCACTAAATATTAATTAAAATCTTTTTTATCATAGGTTTCATGTAAATTAATACTGCTTCAGATGTAAAATTGCAGACAAGGAAAGGTACCACTAGACCTCTAGATGAGCAGCAGAGATTCATAATAGCAAAAATGAAGCACGGCATATAAAAAAAAGGGTAAAGCACAGCATATAGATCTCTGCATACATAAAGATGTGGGCTCCAAGCCTCAAAATGAAGACATGCTCATTCCATTCATGAAAGGAAAAACTTAAAAAAGGATCAACTAGTCAAGCAGTATAGGAGATCTATAAATCACAATGTAGCCAAAGGAAAACATGAAATGCCAGTCAAATAAAGCAGGTTTAAAAATTAACAAAACAAATGCACATGTCTTCAGACAAACACCAAATATCATATAAAAAGTTTAAATCATGAGATCCTCATGATATCGAGGTAAGCATTAAAAAAGAAAAAAAAAAAAAAAACCCAAAGTAGCAGATTTCAAAATTACAATCAGAATGTGCACGTGTTACTTATGAACATCATGCCTATATATACATAAACTAGTCTATACTGGATGCATCTGAATTATTCTCAAAGTCACATTAAGCAAATTCCGGAAATAACTTATTATTTTTACCAAAAATAAGCATGAAAAATGGAAAGGAAAACATTCCAGGATGACTGTTCTCAGGATCCATGATAGCATGGCATTAACTGATGATGCTCTCTCTCTCTCTCTC